GTAAACAACTTAAGCCTAAACACTTCAAAGATGTTCTAAGAGCATAGTCAAAACGCTAGCCAGCCCACAAAGACACAGTTTAAAGAAAAAAATTCAAAAATTTTGACATGAATTTCCTATGAATAAACAACTAACACCTGCGCATGCTAACTTTAATAATCACATGTAACAACTACTGCCCGAATGCCCAATTCACTCCCCCACGCTTAAACTTTGGCATCGTCCTCGATGACCAAAAATAAACTATGCACAAGTGGGTAAAGAGGATAGGGTCACGCGTGCTCAATCTCAACTCAAGTCATAATTTACAAAACAGGCGATTATAGGAGTCAAATAACTTCCCTAAGGCGCTGGTCAGTGCAGAACTAAACCGAGTCAAGTGATCATCGTCACATCATCCCCAAAGCAAGACCCTCAGCGGCAAAAAACAAAACAAAACACACAAACACAGAAAACACACCAGATTTTTTTGGGTGGGTGGGTGAGGGGGGGGGGGGTTCTGAAGGCAACCAAACAAAAACCAAAAGGTGCAGAACTAAGCTTGGGTTGCCTCCCAAGAAGCGCTATTTTTAATGTCGTTTGCTCGACGCAACTACCTCATAAGCTCTCAAAAAGCAACGCCTGTAATGGTGCACTAATTTCCAAAGTTTCTAACTTTTGCTCCACAAATTCCATTAAGTGGCGCAGACCTTTAAATTCTTGAGTACACATAGGTAGCACATGGTCTTCATAACTCTCATCAGCACAGAAGTGAAGGATGAAACTCTCATCCTCTTTGGGTGGACAGAGAACATGGGTCAAAACTTTGATTACTCTAGGCATCTTCGGAGGCTCAAAACATGTCTCAACGCAAAGATTAGGAGCAACACCGTAATCAAACTGCACCATGGAAAAGTCTTATTCTTCCTCATAAACATTATGTACATTCAAAACCTCTCCTCCGGATTTATATCACTCCCCATGTGAGCATTCCAACTCTCGGTAACACCGTTCTCATGAATGTCTTCTTGGATGATGTTGTCACTCTCCACACAAAAAGGAATATCATCGTCAAGGAGTGAATCAAAGAAGTTCATATCTGAAACCACGTAAGAGTGGATCGGTGCATGTATACAAGAGGAGTAATCTTGCTTGTGGAGCGGGACTTCTTCATTATGGACATCATCTACTTCGCCCCCAATCTCTTGGAACGTGTGATCATCTTTTCCCAACTCATCTTTGATATCCAAACCTACCTCAGTACCACTATCAGCATGACTGATCTGCTTCGTGCCCTCATCAGGTGTTGAGACTAATGGTAAATCAAACGACTGAGGAGTTTCTGTATGAAGATCACAGTGATTTGTGACTTCATCAGTTACAACTTCTACCGTTTGAAACGTTTTCATGTATTCTTGGAAAAACAATTCGAGACTACTATCTGCTTATTCATCTTCAAACATGAGTGGGTCTTCAACAGCATCAGGAAGTGTATCATCCATCGTAGTCTGACTCAATCTCATGATCATCCCTATTGGTCTCCTCAGGTTGGGCTTCTGTGTCATTAGGATGGGATCTCTCAGACTCCTCAGATAGGGCGTTAAACAGCTGATCCAAGTGATTCTGTATGGTCTGAAAACTTCACTACATTAATTGTTGATTTGCCGCAGTCGTTTGCATAAACTTTTGGAATGTTTCTTCCAGGCTGAGGTGAGTTTGCTGCATTTTACGCATCGTATGTTCCGCCTCCAAAAATTGATTATGTGGCTCATTACTCGGCAAGGATATAGGAGTAGCCGAAACATTTGTGTTCGAAAATTGTGGGGAGGGAGAAGTGAGGTATGCAGTTGCCTAGTAAGGATGGTCGTATGGAGGAATGGGGCGAAGACATAAATGATGACCTCCTTCACAGAATGAACAAATGCTATTTTCAAGAAGGCAATCAGCCAATTCCTCGGGACTTTTATTTTTAACAAGATAATAAAGCATGGTGACTCGTTTTGCCCTAGGATATTGTGGATAAGGATAATGAAGGGAATGATATTGGGAATGTTGTGTATTTGGAGGAGGGTAAGAATAGGAAGATGGAATATTTTGTGGTGGAGGAGAGTAATATTGATGAGGAGTGTAAGGCGGATAAGGCATACATGGTGAATATTCCATGGAGGTTTGAGGGAATGATGTTCCTCCATGAATTTGACTGAATGAATTCATCTCATGCCGCTTATAAAAATCCCCGAAAGGTTAGCACAGAAAAATCCTACGGAAAACCAAAAAAAAAACTAACAAAAAAAATCGCTGAAATTAATTAACCCTAAAACCGACACCGTCCCCGGCAACGGCGCCAAAAACTAATGTGAGTTTTCTCGCACTTAAAATAGATTGTAATATAGTGACGTAAATACGAGTATCGTCTCCACAGGGACGGACAAAAGAGAATTAAGAATTAACTAAATTCAGTGATTAAAAATAAATAAAATAAATGCGTCGTGCGAGATATGATTGGAATGGAAAGTTAAACTAATGCGAATGAGCAATTAAATAAAAAGATCGGTTTTCTTCTCAATCAACGACGAAGGGAACATGGATTGATTCCGGGGTAACCAGATTTCTGCATTCATCGGTTAAATTATTCAAACACAAATTAAACCGCATTCATGCAATTAATCCATCAAGAATCTAGCCATACATCATGATTAATCCCTTCATCAATCCCAAATCCGTAATTAAACTACTCACAATTCATAATTGAAGAATCAACAGAATTGGGATGAATAGAAATAATTGTCATTAATTAAAAAGATAAACTTACAAATAATCTCAGGGTCTTGGAGTAAACAATGATAAAATCGCAAGTAAATTCGTCCCTAGGCCTCTCCGTAATGTTCATAACCCTAAAAAAGGAGTTTGGAGGCCTTATTTATAGAAAAAGGGGAAAATCAATGAATTCTTGCCGAATTGGGACTGAATTTCGTGTAACATGGGGGTAGGAATGATCGTGCCTACCCTGCCAGGCACTATCGTGCCTGGCTTCCAGTAGCTCTACGTGAATTTCACTTTGAGGCACGATCATGCGTCCTCCTAGGCATGATCGTGTCTTGCCTGTTCTTCACCACATGTGACAAAACTTCCTTCATGAAAGATTTAGATAACAAAGTCCTCTATCCACCACAACTTGAGGAATTGGATTTGAATCATCCAATCAAGAGATATGAATAACAGGTGGAAGGTGGCATTCTGAAATCGCAACAGAGATCATCTGACTTCATCGTCTGTTTGCACCTTGTTCCTAACAGATTCTCGCAATGATGTCTTCATAAGATTTGTAGCCCTTGACGTTGGATTTCATATAAAACTTGAATCGTGTCCTTTAGATGCTTCTACAAAGAGATATGCTTGAACGATTGACATAAGATCATCCTGATCGCCGTTTTCAAGCTCTATTCATCTTCTTTTGATCCCGTAGCAATCTTAGAGCTCTTTTTTCATCAAATATTCATCGTGAACCTTCCGGTGACCTCCAAAGATATCAATCCACTCTCGAATGCATCTCGAATTATCCCGATTGCTCCTCAAGCGCCGTGCTGAACTCTAAATTCCTTATTTTGACTCCAAATGACACAAAACTCAAACCAACGCATGTAAACATGACTTGAGCTAAAATTGAGACTTATGACGCCTTAAAGCTACGAAATCCATCAAAAGAAGATTCCAACATGCATCAAATGCGTGTCTAAATATGGACATATCAGTTCTCGTCCATTGTTCTCCGATCAACTTAAAGTCTTCTTAATCTTTCAATTTATATATCTAACTTTTATCAAATTTGAATATTTATATATCTTTTAATCTTTATAAAACTTTTAATGTAGTTTCTGAATATTTAATTTTTATTTATTAAAAAATCTAATTACGAATAGGGATTAGTTAACTTTTATGGTCAGTCAAACATCGTAAACTGCGTGGGAACCTTTCTACAGGACGGAGGGAGTACTTATTTATATTAGAGCCCGTTTGATGATCCTATTTTTCGACTTATCAGTCTTATAAGCCAACGTTTTCATCGAACACATACTTTTTTATTTCACGCACGTACTGAGTTGTGTAATGATCAAAATTAGAAAGGCTCAAGTTTCTATTCTAGTTAAATTGACTGGAACTACGTTTTGTAATTAGCTTATTTACATGATTTAGCTGTTTTCCCACATATATACGTTCTTTATGTAACCATCTTCCATTATATACCTATTAAAATTATTTTTCAAAATATACTTGAACTACCTTAAGTAATTATCGTGTAAATAACTGTGACTTTTTGCCATGAGAACCTTTCAATGGGATGTTGTGAATGTTTGAATACTTTGTAAGATATATTTTATAGAATATATAAATAATTAGCATGTCATTTTATTTCAAACAAACGTTCGCTAATTGTGAATAGTAATTTAATTAAAGATAATATATATTAAGAAGTGACATTGTAATGTAACACTGCACATTTCACAGAACTAGGGTTTGGACATCAACCCGTAGATAGAACCACACACTCATGACGTGCATTAGATCCATGGTCCTCAATGATGGAGGTGAAAACATTTAAGCCAACCTCTACAATCCATGGTGCATCAGTCTTGTAATGCCAAGGATGTTTTTACTTGGACCGTAATTTGTCTCAGACCAGACCAGATCAGACCATACCAAACCAGATCAGACCAGACCAGACCAGACCAGATCAGACCAGACCAGACCAGATCAGACCAGAATTGTGTAGTTATAAAAATACAAAGAAATCAGACTAGACCAGACCAGTTCAAACCAGACCAGACCAGACCAGACTAGATCAGACCAAACCAGACCAGACCAGCAAATTACAGTCCAAGTACAAACATCCCAAGTTTTCATAGCATCCGGCCATAAAAGTAATCTATGCATTTTTGAGATTCTCTACTCCAGTTAATTATAGAGGAAATGAGATTTTCTATTCTGATTCCTTTTTGGATACAGCTATTCTGATTTGTGTTGCACAATCCAAAGGATATACAATGTTACAAATAACGTTATTTAAGAAGCTCTAAGCAAATGTAGTACTTCTAATTCCACATTATTAAAATCATACAAATTCAACCCACAAATTAATCACGAGTCAAAGGGAATACAATACATCAATTTTAAAGACATCACATATGCTATAATAATACTACATACTACGGTATAAAATGTCTTATAAATCTCATCGACCTTCGATTTGAGTAAATGTCATACTGAGAGATTGATAACCACCACTTTCAGTGTATGAGGATGGAGTAGTGCTATATCCTTTTCTGATCATAAATCCCGGTGGATTAGGACTAGGGAGTTTTGTTTCATTACTCAACATAAATATCACTTCTGAAATATTGGGTCTATCATTTGGTATTGGTTGAACGCACAAAAGTCCGACGTGGATGCATCTCAAAACTTCTCGCGTATCATAGGACTGCTCCCCCAATGATGGATCCACTAAGCCCAATGGTCTTTGTTCGTTCCAAAAATCCCATACCTGAAAATATGCAACACAAAGCTAAACAATTCACTCTTTTTTTTAATAATGAAAATAGACTACATCTATATATGCACTTACATCTCCCATCAAATTAACAGAGTTCTCTGTGTGTTGATATTTGTTTTTCTTTCCGCACACAATTTCGAGCATCAGAACTCCGAAACTGAATACATCCGATTTAACAGAAAAGAGACCTTCCATGGCATATTCCGGTGACATATAACCGCTGTGATAATAAATTAAGATGGGAAATTATCAAATTACATTAATTGAAAATATTCATGAACAATCGTGTGCATGGAAAATATATACTTACTATGTTCCAACTACTTGTTTTGTGTTCGCTTCTGTTTGTTCTTCTCCAAAAATTCTAGCCATTCCAAAATCAGATATTTTTGGTTCCATAAGATCATCCAATAGAATATTGCTTGCTTTTAAATCTCGGTGGATAATTTTTAGCCTTGAATCTTGATGAAGGTACAACAATCCTTGAGCGATTCCTAATATGATTTCAAAACGTTTTTTCCAATCCAGAAGAATCCCTAACTTATTATCTGCATGCATTTATAAACATTGAGTAATAAAGTTTTTTGCTCATGATCAATTGTCAAAGAGAAATCCCAAAAACGCAATTGAAATAAATTATATCTTCTCACATAGAACAACCATTGTTTTTTTGTCACTATATGACTGATCTGGTTTAAAGTGAAAGTTAAAAGTACTTTTTTATTTTATTTGGAAAAGGGTCAAGTACAGTCTTTTACTATTTCTAATCAATTCTTACTTAAGCGTCTATACTAAAAAAAAGTAACATATTTGTATGTCTACTTTAAAAAATTGATCAATTCGGTCATTGAATCACTTATTGACCTGCAATAGCAGTTCTTCATATTAAAAAGTTTAAAATTTTATTTGAACTTGAAGAAATATAGATAAAAACTGTGAAATTTTTTAGAATGCTAAAGTCAATAAATTTTCATTTTTTAAATAATTTTTATATTCTATATCTATTTAAAAGTTTTATACACTTTATACATTTTATTTTAAATTTTAAAAGTTTTAGGTTTTCGCTTTATTTTTTAAGTTTTTTGATTTTTATTTTATTTATTTCAATTTTATTTAATTATTTATCAATTTTTATATTTATACTATTTTTATATTATTATTACATTATATTTCAAACTTATATGAATTTTCATAAGATTTATCAACATAATTTAAAATGTCAAAATAACTTCATTAATTGTATATTACAAGTATAGTATGATGTTTTTTTAGTAGACGAGTTTAAGTGATGGATTGAAAATAGTAGAAAGATATATTGAACCCTTTCTTTAATTTCTTATTTTATTTGCACTAAAGAGTCATTTTATAAAAAAAAGGAAAAATATTTCTTTTTATATACGCAATACATTACACCATGTTATACTTCTATTTGGAATAGCAATTTATAATTAAACAATTAATGTAATGACTAAATCAAATAAAGATAAGCTAGCAATATGTGTATTATAAATTAATCACTCATACCAAAGATAATGTAGTCGAGGGAATTGTTAGGCAAGTACTCATATACCAACATCTTTTCCCCTTGTTGAATGCAGCATCCTAAAAGCCTTACAAGATTTCTATGTTGTAATCTTGCAATGAGCATAACTTCATTTTTGAATTCTTCTATCCCTTGATCTGAATTTGTTTTGAGCCTTTTGACAGCTACAAGTTTTCCATTTTGCAACTTACCCTATAAGCACATGCACGCTAATTAAGTATAATAAATCTAAGCTAGATTAAATAACTCATAGAGAAGGAAAGTATTCATAAGAAGGAAAACAAAACAAAACTATGATATAATTTAAAGGGAAGTTATAACCTTGTGTACAGAACCAAACCCTCCTTCTCCAAGTTTACTTTCAGCAGAAAAGTTTTCAGTGATCAATTTAATTGTGTCGAGATCAAAGACTACTACATCTGCTGGTGTTGCTTCTTCCAGATTTATTGCACTTGAAGACCCTTCATATGATTGAATGAATATTGGTAATGTATATCAGGATCAAAGATTCGAAGAGATATTGATTGTGATAAACGTCCAAATAAATAATACATTCATACAATAATCTTGGTCACTATAAGTTATAGAATTTGGTACCAAACATTTGGTACCCAAATTTTTAGGTTTTGGTACCAAATATTTTACCCAATAGGAGTATGGAGTTATGCCATATCACACGTCTTGTCATATTACAATAATACCCTCTCCATCACATTTTACTTGTCTTATTTTTTGGGTTGTCCCAAAATAAGTGTCATATTTACTTTCTTGGAAAGAAATAAGTGGTCTATAACATTTTCTAATATACTTAAACTTGAATTACAACTTTTACTTGTATACCCACTATTAATAATTGTGTCAAACCAAAATAATAGGACACATAATATGAGATGGAGGTGGTACTTCTTTTATTTGTTATTTAGTGTCTCATAAAGCAATAATTAATTAATGTAGTGAAAAAGAGGAGTACAATTGTTAGGAATGCGGTTTGAATTCCCTAATTAATGTAGTGTCTCATAGGACCGTTACGTTTTTATTCCCTAAATAGGAGTAGTCATTATCATATTTTGGCAGTATGAGACAATAAACATGACAATGATTTCCAAGTTAGACAGTAATTATTCATATTTATAAAATAAAAACATGACAATCCTGTTTTGAAATTCTCAAAGTTTTTACTCTTGTTTCGAGAATTTTGTTAAAAAACATAAAACCGCATGTACTCTTCATGGCCTCCTCTAGAATTCCATTAGTCAACCAGAGAGAGAATTTCCAGAAGCTAAATTTACTTTTGTCTTCAACATTAGTGCATGTTTGGTATGATAAGTTCGTACTTTTTGCTACACATTTCAATTTCACCTAATGCACATTTCAATTTCATCTAATACACATTAAATGTCACATAAAACAAATCTAAAGGTTGACATTTATTCTCAATTTTCTCCTAAGATCATTTTCTCATTTGAACCTAATTATTTATATGTGTGTAGTTTGGATCAAATAAAAAGGGGTCTTAACGTGTAAAAGGAGAATCAATCCATCTGAGCCGTCCAAATTTTCGATCGCACAATACTCCTTATCTAATGGACTATGATTAAAAGTTGTGATGCATTTCACGATCCCCAATAATCAATTAATGACATATATACATACCTTTTCCCATTTTCCATGTCATATAAAGCATGAGAAGGATCACTACACCAGAAGGTATACCCGTGCTTAGTATTAGCCATTTCGGACGGAGCCCCTTAGATTTCTTTAAAGGCATCGCTGAGGACATATACATAGGGAGTAAAAAGTTACAGCACAAATGCAAATCAAATAGCATACCTCTATGTCATTTTAAATTTTTGTTATCTTTAATTTTTAATCATTAAAATAAAATTTAACAAATGACATATTTTATAAGAAATATTTATAGTTTACGGAGTAGGGATATTTTTAATGGGATTGTCATATTATCTGATTTGGTCTGGTTAAGAATGGTCTGGTCTAGTAAATTATGTTATATATATATATATATATTTGCCATTTTAAAGTCTGATCTGGTCTAGTTTGATATGGTATTGTTTGATCTTGTATGAGACCGAAATCATTGCGATTAAAAATATCATAAATGGTATGAACATCATGTTCCCGCTCAAACTTCTCACTTATCTTTTTTAGACGTCCTAGCTAGAAGTTCTGACTTTGCATTCCTATTTTAGTAAATAATTAGAATTCTTAAATAACAAATTAATCATCAAATACATATTATTAAAAATAATACACTTGTATCATCACAATTATCATCAATGGTTCATTAAATTATACCAACACAATTATCTGTTCTGAAAATATACTTGAATTATCTTATTTAATTATTATTCAAATAACCATATCATTAAGAAGCTTGAGCGGTGAAGGAATATTAATTAAGAAATAATTATATACTACGTATTTGTTAGGGAGTTATTATCATGAAACCTGAAGCAGATGCGGAGACTCGTATATACACATCTCTGCCGCCATTAGCAAACTCTCTCATATCCGTCAACTCCCCATAAAAATTGAGACATCCATCTCCTCCATGAATAGTAGTATCTTGTCTAGCATATCCAGTGCACGAACAGTTCTTCACACAATGTTCTTCACAATCTTTAAACCCCATCTTCGTGTCCGAAAACGTCATTTCAGCGTAGGGTATGTTAACGTTTGTGAGCTTCAGAAACCCGTCACCGTTCGGGCAGGTGTCCGTGTTGGCTTCCCTCCGACAGCTATGTCGGTCGTCTCTCAAGGCCCACTCTTGGGTTGACGAGTTTGACTCAAACCCAGAAAGGCACTGACAGCCCGACCCGCCCGGAATGTATGGATTGCAAATGCCAAATGCGCCACACGGGTTATATGAGTCGCATTTGTCTTTGGGAATGTACCACAGCCCGGCCCATTGCTTCATCTTCGGGCCATCTCCTATCCATATGATCCGATTCATCGTCCCGGTTTCATTCAACATCAATACTGTGTACACCGTCGGATCAGGAACCGTGTAAGACAGACTGTCCTCATCTTCGTCGATGATGCCAGTGTATGGGGTGAAATTTATGGACATTCGAGGGATGTTGCTGCACCCGGATCCGATCCACAACCCGAGCCTCCAAACCCGGACCGAATTTTTGTACATGAATCCCTGAGGCGGATCAGTAAAGTCTGCTCTGAGAGAGTACTCACCGGTGCCCGGATCATCCGGTGACTTCCACGAGGTCAGGAACCGCTTCAACCCGGTTTTCTTGTTGATTCCAAATTTCATGTGAGGCAAGAGTATATTGGTCGGGTAGTCGAAACTCTCCCATGCTGTGACCCGTCTATCCGGGTCGTGGTACAAAACCAGATTCCCTGTTTCCTGGAGCTGAACAGAGTAATTCAAATCTCTCTGTAACCCCGTCGCCGGCAAAGAAAGACTGGTGTTCCAGACGGTGACACTGGTGTTCCTGTCCTGGATGACGAGATTCCCGGTGGCGTCGATGAAGAAGACCCCGGATGTTCCGTTTACCGGGCTGTCTCGGTTAGCGACCCAGACAGCCACTAGTTCTGGTATGTGTTGGTACCAAATGCCGAGGTACCGTTTTCCGGTGGACTTTCCGGGGGTAAAGAATCCGAGGGCATATGAGTTTGCACTAGAGAATAATAAATCCCCATCTCTGAGAGTTTGGTTGAAGGTGATGATGTGGGCGGATGAGCATAGTAAAAATGCGAGACAGAGTAGAAATGTGATGCATTTCATTTTGAGAGTTTGAACGCAGATATGCCTATAGAAACGAATGGTACATTTTATAGGGAAGAAGAGTATGAAGAACTGTTTTCGATCACTCAAATATTACTATCTCTTAACCGATCTCACTCAATTGTGATTTATGAACCCTGCCACTCCCAGCTCTGCTTCCGTACCCAGGACCGGACCTAGCTCCTTCATTTCCGTCGTCGATCATATCTGGCTGGCTACGCAGAAGAGGTAAAGAGCGGGGCATGCAATACAAATGGTTGTTGGATATGGGGGCGCGTTTACATCCTGTTGAATGCCATTGATCTGTTCGTTTACTCACCTTACGTTGTTGGCCCAAATCCGGATGGATTTAAGGTGCTTGTTTACTTTCTTTTCATGGGCATCACTCACCCATGATCTTATCATATGAGCTCTTTTTGTTATTTTTTTTTATTATTATTATTATAATGTTTGATTGAACTTATTTCAGTCTCATATCAGATCAGATGAGACTAGACCAATTTAGACAAGGCAAGATCAGACTACACCAGATAAGGTCATATCAGAGTTCACACCAAACTCGATAGTTGTAAAATACAAAGAAGTCAGTCAATTATCAAACCAGATCAATTCATACAAGTTCGGATCAGACCAGACTAGGCCAAAAAAATTCAGTCCATGTAAAAATATCCTTAGTTTGCAACAGTGCTACCATATTTTTTTATGATTGAGCTTTTTTTATTTTCCTAATGTGCCTTTCTTTTATGGAATTCTGTATAAGATAATACTACATGAAAGCGCAAAGACAAAATAGAACTAGATTTAAAAAATTTCAAAAATGTGACTAAATTGACATTTTTGTCCATTCTTCTTTTCCTAATGCGCCTTTCTTTTATGGGAAAGTTCCCGAAATGGGACTAAAAAAGTTCGAAAATTCCAAAATAGGACTGTCATGTTTTTATTTCCAAAATAGGACTAATTACTGCCAAATTTGGAAAATACTGCCATGTTTGAAGTCTGTTACTGCCAAAACATGACAGTAATTAGTCCTATTTTGGGAATAAAAACATGGAAATCCTATTTTGGAATTTTCAAACTTTTTTAGTCCCATTTTGGGTAATATCTTTTAATTATGGGCCTTTCTTAGTTCACAGTAACATGACACCTCAGTGACTCGATGTCACAGAGCCTCGCCACCACCATTAACTATGCCCACCGCCGGTCACGGTGATCACTGCCTACCGACGCCTCTGGCTTAAGATGTTCTTTTTCCCGGAGCTACGCTTTAAGTCAAAGAGATCAATGAGATGAATACAATGCTGAAGCCTAGTAATTCCTTGGTAGATAGAAACCCCCATGTATTTAAAATGCAATTTAGATGTCTTCATTTTCAGAATTTTCTCGATTATTATACTTCTTTCAAGTTCAACTTTCTTCCCTATTATAGCTGCATTTTTGCTTAGACTAACCTTATGTCCTTAAGCTCTTGCATATGTGTGCAGATAAATGTCACTAATTCTAACTATTTTCAGCTACTGTCATTAATTTATGATGAATAATTTATACTATGTATGTTCTAAAATCTGAATGGCTTAAGACCTTCAAAATTGTTTTCTTGTGCAGGTAATCATTGAACCATTGAGGAGTTAAACCGATGCAGATATGTGTCATTAATCACATATATGTTCATATTCCTCCATAATCGCAGGCCTCCATAATTGTAGGTTAAGAATATGATGTGTATTCCTCCCACTAATATTAGAGTTACGATCTCTATGAACTCGGCATGGTGAGTTTCAACTATACGAGTTGAATAAGGACAATAAAATCTATATCCCTTTGATCGTTCTGGATACCCAATAAAGAAACAATTGACTGTTTTCATGTCAAGCTTTCTTTATTGAGAGTTATAGAGCTTAGCTTCGGCATGGCAGCCCCAAACTTTCATATATCTCAAGCTTGGTTTCCTTCCTGTCCAGATTTCACAAGGTGTCTTAGGAACACATCCATTTAGAAGGAACCCTATTGAGTATATGAACTGCCGTCTTTAATGCCTCAGTCCGATCCATACGAATTGAGGTAAGGTGGTATTGGGTAACATGATTCTTACTGTATCCATGAGAGTCCTATTTCTTCTCTCAGCAACACTGTTTTGCTTAGGAGTACCCGACATGATAAATTAGTTCACAATCCCGTGTTCTTCACAAAAGTCAAAGAAAAGGACCGCGAGCCTAACCAATATCAGTATGTCTACCATAATCCTCACACCCTCTATCCGATCTCACTACCTTTATTATACGGTCGAGTTGATTTTCAAACTCAGTCTTAAAGGCTTTGAACATGTCAAGTGATTCGGATTTCTCTTTAATTAAATACAAATACATATAATGTGAGTGATCATCTATAAAGTGATAAACGACTTTTGTCCAGAAATTTTGGTGTGAAAAGGTCCACAAATATTTGTGTGTATAAGTTCTAACAAATTAGAAATCCTTGTGGCGCCTCTTTTATTTCCCTTTTGTATTTTGCCCTTAAGGCATTTCACACATGTCTTAAAATCATTTAAGTCGAAAGTTGGTAATACTCCATCCCTCACGAGTCTTTAAATTCGATCTCGTGCTATATGGCCCAAACGTTGATGCCCGATATGCACTAATTAGTAGTGCATAAGTGTATGTTGTTATGTTTGATTTGTGTGTATTGTTTATCGTTTTATTTAGTTTGTAAAGATTTGTGTGATTTTAGATGTAATTGTATTTTAATCTTCAATTGTAAGTTGTAAAGTAGTGGTAGAGTTGTAGACTTTGGAAAAGGAGAAAAACATGAACAAAATCTGCCCAGGGAACCTACCCGGCCGGGTAGAGATCTTCACCCGGTCAGGTAAGACTTAACAGTTGCAGGTTCCAAGAAATTGGGATCACCCGAACGGGCCCTATACCTCACCCGGTCGGGCGAGACTTGACCGAGGACACTCCGACGTGCTGAAGAACACTAGAACGTGGAAGATATTTGATTTGGACCGGTACCCCGGTCGGGTGGATACTCTACCCGGTCGGGTATCCGGCCAAAAGTGTTGAAAAACACCTATAAATAGCACAATTTTCCTTCACTAATTTCAACTCCTTCCATACTCTTAAGCTAAGTTTAGAATAGTATTTCTTTTATATTTTTATAACATGTTTAGTCTCCAAATGAGGAGCTAAACATCCATTTCTTGGCGTTGCTCTTGAAGCTTGTTGATTATTAAAGTTGTGAGTTATTTTCTTAACTTCTTCCCTTGAATATTAATTTTCCCCTTAATCTATCTATATATTAATGTTGTGGAGTGTTACTAAGATGACAATTAGATAACATCTCGACATTAGTTATAGTAGTATTTATTTACTTCCTCTATATTAATGTTGGGGAGTGTTGCTAAGATGACAATTAGTTAACATCTTGACATTAGTTATAGTAGGATTATTCATATTTAATCTTCTTCCTTGAATATTAATTCTTCCCTTAATCTATCTCTATATTAATGTTGAGGAGTGTTGCTAAGATGACAATTAGTTAACATCTCAACATTAATTACTACTAGAAATGTTCAACGAACCGATGGTTAATCGTTGATGGTTTCACAAGTAAGTAATTTCAGTTTATTAATGCACAGTCGTGGTTAATAAACTTAAGAGGGATTAATTTTGTTGGTTAAACCGAAACCATTGTGTTGAGATTATCCATCTCAATTGATTTCATCAAGGAGTTAAGAGATTAAATGCGACTATCAAGTCGGTATATGGCGGTGTTTTATACTTGACTAATAGTAAGAGTTATTAA